GGGAGTGTCTGAGTAGTATAAAGCATGTTGTCGGTGTAAGATCAGTATTTCTGGCAAAGAGATTGCACGCCGTATAGCAGTTAAAATCACACCGAGTTGCTGCCTCAGCGAGAAATGGCGAATAATCAATCTGTTAGACGACATCTGGATGCTTTTACCCGATTTTACCCGAGGTCGAATCATTGGGAAGTTGGAGGAAGGCCGCAGTGTGACAAGTGTGGCTGCAGAGTTCGGAATTGCTCACAGCATCGTTTCACGACTTTGGAGACAATTTCAAACTACAGGAACAGCTATCCGGGGGTTTAGTAGTGGTCGTCCACGAGGAACCACACCCGCAGATGACCGGTATATTGCCTTACAGGCCAGAAGAAACAGGCGGCAGACAGCGGGAGAAATCGCTAGACACACGACACAGGCGACTGGACGACCGATATCGCGTTTTACCGTGGCCAGAAGACTGCACGGTGGTGGTCTGTTTGCACGACGCCCTGTACGGTGTGTACCTCTAACGCCTGCCCATCGGAGAAGGCGTTCTCTGTGGTGCCGGGAACACCGGAATTGGAGAGACAATGAATGGGGACGAGTACTCTTTACAGATGAGAGCAGATTCAGTCTGAGTAGCGATTCTCATCGCATACTCATCTGGAGAGAGCGGGGAAGCCGCAATCATCCCTCGAACATCATTGAAAGGGACAGGTATGGAGGTGGCGGTGTTCTCGTTTGGGGAGGCATCATGCTTGGTAGTCGTACAGACCTTCACATCTTCGACGCAGGTTCAGTCAACGGGACCCGTTATTGTAACGAGATTCTTCTTCCATATGTGCGTCTTTTTAGAGGCGCTATGGGTCCGCAGTTCCTTTTCATGGACGACAATGCACCATGTCATCGCACAGTAGCTGCCGAACAGCTCTTAGAGAGTGAGGATATTGAACGTATGGATTGGCCGGCACGATCTCCGGATCTCAATCCCATCGAGCATGTATGAATTGCCTTATGTTTGCCACCATGTATATGAATATATTCTGTTTTCTACTTTATATATCCACCACACCACGGTTCCCAAAGTATGGAATCGTTTAAAATCTTTACAACATTTAAGTGGAAAAAAATAAAGAGACTTAAACAATGTTAGAAAATGCATTTAAAATAAAAAAAAACTTACATTACTGGCAGGAGATGGCAATTACTTTAGTTTTAATGTGAAATCTGACATTGTTTTTGCATGCTTAAAGCATCAATATCCAGTTTAATCTGTGTTGCAATTCATAAAGTTTCCTCTGTCTGTCAGCCATGTTCTTGTTTTTGATTTTAGGATTTTCATTTTACTAAAAAGTTGTACTGCCAAAGTTAGAAAACACGAAGAGTGCATGTTATTGAATTTCTGGATACTTTTCTTCGATCACCGTACTAGGAATAAAAATCAATTAATGTCAGATTTTCAAGAAACATGCATATTATTGCAGAGTCACACTGCAAATCTATAAATTCTTATAGAAGTTCGGGCGGAGCACTTTCAACGTCTACTGAAAATGGCGATATTCTCATGAACATTTCATTTTTATGAAAATCTGCTTTTGAATTCCCTATTCAACTTTGAAATGCATTGTACATAATTATTTGAATTCCGTATTGTAGAGTTCTTCACACTCTCCATCAATTTTGAAAAGTGAGTGGAATTCTTATTTAGCAATTGACTTTCCCACAGGATTAATTTCGTCGCAAAAGCTTTCACAAAATAATAAAGATTATGAACAAGTAGATCTTTTCCTAGTAAGCGATGGTTGAGATAATCTGTAATATCGACAAGAAATGCAAAGTCTCTCTACCATTTTTCATCACTGAACTCATGAATAGATTTCTCGTTAGATCCATAAATTGCTGAACTTTGCTCTTTAAAGAAAACAGGTGCTGAAGCATCTTTCCTCGGCTCAACCAATGTACTTCCAACGTTATACACAATATCACCATATTCAGCTTCTAAATCACTCGAGAACTATCGAAATTGCCTGTGTTTAAGCCCTTTAGACCAAATGAAATTAACCACTTTTACAACAAAGATAAGAATCTACCCTTTTTATGGAATTAAGATTTTATGCATAGTCAAATTTTTAAAATTACATAAGATAAAGTGCAATTTTTAAAAAACTCATAATTTTTAGAAAATTTTATCTCAAATAATATCAGGCATGTCAATAAAATAGCAAGAATAAGAGAGTTTTTTTTTTTTTTTTTTTTTTTTTTGCGACAAAAAGATGATAAGGCATTTTTTCTTGAAATTAGAAATTTAAAAAAATTCTTCAATTTTTCCTCAAATTTAAATGTGGGGCCACTAAAATGCCTTCAGTAGGCCACTGGTTGAAGACCCCTACTAAACAAAAATGGAACCTAGAGACACTATCAGAGTGTGAGAAGAAGAGAAGAAGCAACGGAAAATGAAATTAAACATTGGGAATCATCTGGGAGAAGTACATGATCAATTGCATATGGATAATTTTTATGTGAAGCAATTGTGGACACGACGACAAAAAAATAAATAAATAAATAAATAAAAATAAAAAAAATAAATAAACATTAGGTAATCTTAAATTGAAGATACAAAATTGATGACTTTTACTGAAATGTTTATTAGAATGAAATTAAATTATTTATGAAATAATAAATGCTTTCTCACACTGTATATTAGTAAATAACTTACATCAATACAAGAAAATTATTTATATACCATTAACAACATGAGAAATGTCAAAATTTTAAATTTGAATCCATACTGTGGCAAGAAAGGCCTGGTATAAAATTTGCAATTCTTGAGAGATTCTCTGCTTGATGTGGTCAAAATTATTAATTCCTTCACTTTAAACTTATTTTGACAATGATCCAGAGAAAGAAGTCTAGTGATATATGACCAGCATTTCTTATGGGTCTTTGGATACATCTATTTCTACAAATTATCAGCCTGGAGACAGAGAACTCAACAAGCCTTGCACAATTGTCAGGCAATGCTCCATCTTGTTGAAAAAAATTTTTTTTATTCTTAAATTACATATAACTCTCTATTCATAAAATACATTAACTGACAGAAGTTGTTTCTACTGCAAAACCTATTTAACTTCCATATTGTGCCCAATAAATTTTTTGAGGCCAGTTTTGTCTTAGTGCTTGTAGAGCAAATTTTATTGTGAGATAGTAATTGCACCAAGTCATTTTTTTTTTTTTTTTAAGTAATTGTAAGCTTCTATTATGATTTTTTTAAGATTTGAGATTTTGAATGCTTGTGTGATTCCATGGCAGGAAACAGAAAAGAGATCAATTTTTCTGAAAGAAAGATTATCACAGATCTCTGTAGAATGTGGAAAATCTCTTAAGCAATTGCTAAACCTTTTAACAGGAGAGATTCATAGATGAAAAAAGTTATCATGAACTACAAATCAAATGAACTTTTAATGTCCAAGCAAAGATCCGTTCGCCCGTTTGCACTGTTGCCTCAAGAATACTGCTTTGTAAAAATAAAACCAAGACTATCAGCTTCACAAACAGTTAAAAGTGTCGCTGAGAGATTAAAAAAAATGAGAGTTTAACCACAATTAAAGGAGAACTGAAAAAGCATGACTATCATGGCCAAGTTGCACGAAAGAAGACATTCATCTCTCGAGTGAAGAGGGCTAACAGAACGGGCTTTGTTAAAGAATGCTTAAATAAGACACACGAGTTTTGGGAAAAGGTAATATATTCAGATGAAGGAAAATTTTGTATTTTTGGCATCAAGGGAAGAAAATATATTTGGAGGAAACTCTGTAAGAGCTAAAGAAAAAAAATCTTTTTCTAACTATCAAGCAAGGTGAAAGAAGCATTATGGTTTGGGAGTGCATGGGAAGCAGTGAGTTGGTAAGCTGGAGTTTAGTGAATCAATAATGAACAAAATTGATTACTTGAACATATTGAAAAGAAATTTCAAGGCAAGTGCCAAGAAGCTTGGGGTGAATGATGATTTTTACTTTCAGCACGACAACGACCCCAAACACACAGCGCACTTTGTGAGGTCATGACTGCTCTACCATATGCCAAGCCAACTTTGTACACCACCCCAGTCCCCAGACTTAAGCCCAATAGAGCATTTGTGGGATTTACTCAAGCAAAAAATCACGGAGCATATAACAACATCCAAACAAATGCTCAAATCTGTCCTGGTAGAAGAGTGAAACAAAAAACTACTGAAGACACATGTAAGCTAGTTTAATCCACACCAAATAGGTTGGGAGAGCTTACAAAAAGAAGATACCTTACAAGGTATTAACTTTTAGATACACTCCATTACCATACAGGTTTTTTCCAATTTACACAGACTTTTGATCCACACTTGTGTTGTTCTAAGTTATGAATATTTGTATTATTTTATATAATGATCAGGTGTTTGTTGTTTGTACTATCTGAATTTAGGATATTAGAGGAATCAATACAAGTTGTACTGATTTAGAAAGACTCGATTTACTTAGTGATCATTGCATGAAAGATGTGTATTTCTCATATTTCTGCTATCAGGCAGGAGAGATACAGTTTGAGTTTTCACAGTACTTTCAGAGTACGTTTTTATTTAAAAAACTAAAGTATGAATTAGATGCATGAAAATGCAACGAATGTGGTATTACTATTTAAGTTTATTGATTTTCACTACAATTGTTTTAAGAACACGTACTTCCTTAAAACTCTTTGATTGTACCACATCTATATTTTAATTGGCTTGCTCGTAATACTAAAAGTCGGAGTTTCATTGACAAATTTCATTTTAGCCTAAATTTCAGTATATTTAATCGATGCAAAATCTATAATCTATTGTTAAACATCCGTAAATAATTTTACAAAATTTTAATTTTAATTTCCTTTGACTACCTTGAGAATATTCGTAGTTTTATTAATTTAATATATTGAAACATATTTTGCCTTTTCTACGAGTTTAAATATTGCATCAGCAGAGAGGACAGATTATGAATAAACATGACACTTACGTGCACTGAACGCCTAACACATGAGTAATTTCAAATCTTGAAAATAGTAAATAGTATGTTTGTTGCCAGATTTGACCATTTCAAAAACACAGCTGGAAATTATTTACTAAATTTATTATCTGTTTAGATCTAAATAATAAAGTTTTAGCTGTCTATAATTCAAAATAATAAAATTTTAGAAAGATAATTTAGCATTATATATTTCATACCTCCTTTTTTAATTTATGACATAAAATATTTTTAAGCTTTATAGGAAAACTGTGCTTCAACACAACGTCTGGAATTTGAGGCAGCTTTACTCAAGGTTGATAAGTAAATTGTGTTTAGCGTTTGAGTGGACGGGAGAGTACTGTCAATGTAGCTTAAATGATTTAATACGCGTATGTAATATGAAGAATGCTATAACTGCAACATTTAATACGGGTGAATACCATGGGTACAACGTCAAATATTCACCATTCCGTCGAAATTTATTAGCCTGTGCCTCATCACAAAATTATGGAATAGCTGGTAAATTTTGTCTGTTTAAATAAATTAGCTAAGCATAGCATGTGGGAAAAAAAAATTTTTTTTTTCTTTTTGTTTGTTTGTTGACGGAAATCATATGATTTGTTCTAAAAATATGCGAAGGATTTTGACCGATTTCTGTGACGATTAATTTGAAATGCTAATCATTCTAGCATCAGTATTATTTTCGTGTGTATAAAATATTTTAGGATATTTTTTCAGAAATCAAATGGGGATAACTATTATATTAATTTGATTATGATCCATGACCTAAAAATGCTGAATGAGTAATTTTGTTTTAAATTATTGAGTTTTTGCAGGGTAAAAATGTGCTTGTCAAAATGTAGATATGCAAACAAGTTGCCTTTTAAACTTGTAACATTTCCAATTTTTATACGTGTTTTATATGCACTGCATTGTATCAAAACGGTGACGTAGTGACATTTCATTCATGTACCTTAAAATTTCAATTTCCTTATTTATGTGTCGTATGTTTATTTTTGGATAGTTTTTGACCCCGTTTGTCTTAATTTTGTCGCCAAATATGGCGCCAACAACTGGGATTTTTAATTAAGTGTTTAATTTCATGTGAGATTTATGATGAATTTGTAAATTATTTCGATAGTAAGAAAGCTGTAATCTAAAATTTTAAATTGCATGTTCATATAACTTTTAGCATTTGTACTGTTGAATAATAATAATGATGGTCTGGAATTAAATAATTATGAACCATCAACAAATTTAATTTCACAGTGAATCTTGTATGGCCTCCCCCCTTCCATTTAGGTAATGTTACAATGAGAGAATTTAATTACATTGTTTGTAGAAATTTTGTAAAAGTATACCAAGCTATATTTTAGAAAATAAGCTAATTTTTTCTTATGAAACAATAAACAATATTTTATTTTTATTTCATGGTCACCCTTTTGTAGCAGCAAACTTTTTTAAATTACTATTTTAATACAACGATTTTTAATGCCTTGCTAGCTTTTCTAGAGAAAGTGCAGAATCACCAACTGCTATGCGCATTTCTCAAAATCACTAATTTGAAAATAATTCAAAGAATTGCACAAACTCGGTGTCCATGCACACATTGACCTATTTTCACTTTAAAAAAATCACAGGATTGCACAAATTTGGCATAGCACTCTCCCTTGACTTTGTCCATATACGCACCGATACGTGCCATATGAAGTGGGTGATTCTGCATCAACTTGAAAATAACAAGTCAAAGAATTGCACAAACTTGATATCCATGTACACATCGACCTATTTTCACTTAAAAAGACATCAGAGAATTCCACAAACTTGGCATTGGACACTCCCTTAACTTTCTCCATGTACACATCGATACGTGCCGTACAAGTGGGTGATTCTACACTTTACCCACTTTTCTTACTAAATCTCAGTAGTTCATAATGAATTAGTCCTACTACTGGCAAAAACAATGAATTTAAATCAGTTGCAAAGTAGACAAAAGATTATATACAGGGCGATTCAAATTGTTTTTGCAAATTAAGAGGCGTGATAGTACTCATCCAGATGAGGAATAATTACCATAGAACATAGGGTCGCATTAAACTCTGAAAGGTAGAAAAGAGGAATATTATAATTCCAACCTAAACATACAATAGTGTTGGGAAAGCGAATGAATGAGACAGTTGTACAATCAGTTTAGTGAAAAACTCACAGAGAGTGCACAAAATGAATAAAACCAAAAACTTGGCGTTGGAGTGTTAATTCGAGTTCAGACTTTGATGGCAAACACTGGAATGCACTTTTTTGGTTGGAATGGACTCAACTTTGCAAACGATTGCAACAAGTTGATGATCTAAATTATCTATTAGGGCAAATTATCAAACTGTTACCTTGATATCAAGGTAGCAGTTTGATAACATCTGCTACCTTGATAACAAGGTAGCAGTTTTTTCTCCTTCGCCATCTTCTATCATGTCTCCTAGACTTGCTGTGCTGCGCTCATTCTGCTTGAAACACCCGTCTATGGGACAGGAAATTGGTTGATCTTTACATTATGGTAACTTGGCGATTTTTTGGCGAAAATTTGGCAACCAACTCTCCTACAGCAACCCTCTATTTTTTTTCCCCGCCGCCATTTTGTCTTCACGAAGTAAAGACATGTTTCTTTTCTTCTTATCTACTGAACACTTCTTCCAACAATCTACTAGCCGAATTACACTTATGCTAGAAATTTTATCAAACAAAACTGCTTTATCATGACAAATATTCACTGCAAAATTGGGAAAAAGGAAAAAAGTGCACAATACCATACTCCTTACGCGTTTTTCAAAAAACACATACACATATAACCATGTACACGCCGACTTATTTTTACTTAAAAAAAACATCCCAGAATTGCACAAAAATGGCATTGCGCACACTCTTCACTATAGCCATGTACACTGCTTTTTTCTCATAAATTAGAAAATTTCACGAAAATACATGACAATTTTCTCAATCTTTAAACCCGGTAAAAAGAACATATATGAAATTACCTGATCGCGAAAAAGTATTTACCCTTTACAAAGAACATTTCCACATATAAAATAAATAAAATATCCAAAAACTTTTACCTCTAAATCATCTATTACATTATACACGTCACCAACGAATTCATACCGCAAGCATTACAAATACTTTAGTTATCAAATATTTAAAATTATTTCCATGCACGTTTATTTCAACTTAAACGTATACCAAATTCCTACAAACATAAAAAATAAAAATTCACAAAATAACTATCATTTCATTAAAATATAATTAAATTCAAAAACACTACTTAAAATATAAATGAGCACATACATTAAATTAATAAAATTACCTTACAATCCTAATTACTTTAAAACTAAATCATTGCTAATAAACAATTTCCCAATAATACCAAATTCCTTTCCACCTTACATTTAGAACAATGCATAAAAATAATATCCTCAAATAATTAAAAATACTAACTTACCTAATCTCCTTCAGAATCTTGATTACGTGGCGGATACACTTTTCTAATTCATTCAATAAAATTATTGAAAGATATTTTGCGAATTTTTCCTCCATACTTCCTCCGCTAAATAAAAAGCAAACTTCTCTTTATCACAATGCCTAAATACCATTTCGAATTCACTTACTTAGGCCATGAGATCCAAAAATTACACAACACTGTTTCACACACACAGAATAAAGCTAAATACAAAATTTCCACATTTTTTCCCGATTTCCCCCCTTTTCCGATTAAAGAACCGTAATTCGTCCATTAATATCACACGACATATCCCATGATCTCTCATTTCCCTCACTCAAAATAATGCGTAATCGGAACTGAGTACTGCTCACATTATTACCAAAGTCCCAGGTAGTAACCTTTATCGCCTCCAAAATGTCGCCAAACTACCAGTTACCATATTGTAAAGATCAACCGGAAATTCTGACAGCCGGAACACAGCATGTACTTTTCATGCTAATCTTGGCATACAGCGGAAGTTGGAGTTAGCTGATAATATTCAGCTCTTGATTAGATAATTAACTTGTTGTAATTGTTTGTGAGGTTGAGACTTTGCGAACCAAAATTGTGCATTTGAGCGTTTGCCATCAAAGTCTGAGCTCGAATCAACACTCGAACGCCAAGTTTTCGGTTTTATTCGTTTTGTACACTTTCTGTGAGTTTTTCACTAAATTGATTGTGCAACTTTTGGTCTCGTTCATTCGCTCTCCCAACACTGTTATAGGTTCAAGTTGGAATTCTAATATTCTTCGGCTAATCTTTGGAATATGGTAACAGGTAGTTTGGCGACATTTTGGTAAGGCGATAAAGGTTACTAGCTAGGACTTTAGCAGTGTACATGGATAAAGTCAAGAGTGTGCGCAATGCCATTTTTGTGCAATTCTGGCATGTTTTTTTAAGTGAAAAATAGGTCAACGTGTACATGGATACCGTGTATGTGCAATTCTTAAAAACGCGGCAAGCAGTGGGAGATTCTGCACTTTCTCCCAATTTCCCACCTAATTTTCGTCATGATTAAGGACTTTTGTTCCATAAAAGTTCTAGCATAAGCGTAATTCGGGTAGCATATTATCGGGAAAAAATGTTGAGTAAAAAAAAAAATTGCCGTTACTTCGTGGAAACAAAATGGCGTCCAAAACAAAACTAGCAGGTTGCTGTAGCAGGGTTGGTTGCCAAAAAATCGTCAAGTTACCATAATCCGAAGATTAACCTATTCTCCTTTTCTGCCTATCAGAGTGGACTGCGACCCTATGTTCTATGGTAATTATTGCTCATCTAGATGAGTGCTATCACCCCTCTTAATATGTGAGAACAATTTAGAATCACCCTGTATAGTAGTAGTTACTATTTGTATCACAGTGGTATATTATTTGAACTTATTTTTTAATCTTAATTGATCAAGATTGAATTAATTTTGGTTAGAGTAGAGAATGGTACCCCTTGTGTTATCTTGAAGTTTTTGTTTCATTTATCACCAAGTTGTTGTTTTTATGGTAGCCTAAGTAATTGAATGTTACCGTATTATGATGTAATCGGTTGCATGATTGTGGGAAATTTGTAATGGCTTTTATGCATGTTGGTTAGGAAGTATATTGCTTGTTTTGTCATTTAGACAGTAAAATGGCCGAATGTGGTAAGATTAATTTGAAGTTTCTGTATGATTTTGAAAGAAGGGGAAAAGAGCATTACTTGTCTGGTGTGTAAATGAAGGTTTACTTAGTAGCCATTATTAAATGTCCTGTTTGTATTAAGGAAATGCGTATAATTGAACATCGGACGATAACGGCGCTTATTAGGATATTTTGGACTCTTATTTTGTGAATTTATATGGCGATGCCAGTATACAGATTCTAGTTCAGATTTTTTTAGGAAATTTTTGGATGCTCTTAAGGAATTTTGTTTAACTGAAGATGTGGTTATTCATAAATAAGGTAAGTGGATATTTCCTTTGTGTAGTGCAAAGATGAATTTCCTTTTTTATATTATTTCA